AAAAATAAAAATTCCGACAAACATAATAGTAATAATAATAATAATACGGAATGGAAACGGCAAGAGTTGCCACAGAGAAGAGAGAAAAAAATATATAACAACCGACATCATCAATGGTTTTAACACCCAAAAAAGCTGTTGCAGTGGTTGACTAAGTAAATTACGCTTTCAGTATTTTCAGAGTACAATATGAAGGGAAAGGGAAGCGAGGATTGTATACGTATATGTATTATGGGTGAGTGTTGTGGTTTTATAAAGGTTTGTTTTTCGAAGACCAATGACCCAGTCAGGATATGTTTCCACTTAGACGTAATGCAATGAAAAGTACAATTTATCAACATAAAATATAAAAATTCTTCTTATGGCGGCAAATAAACTTCTAATGCGATTTTGTGGAAACTTGAAGCGTTTCCTTTGAAAAAGTACACAAAATACATTAAATAAGAAAATAATTTTTCTTTTAAAATTCTTAAACAAAGAAAAAGTCATATAAGAAATATTGTTAAAGTGAGTGAAATTTAATAATAATTTCATAGAATTTCAGAGAATTTTTGCGTGTTAAATATTACATCTTATAATGATTTAATTTGAGATTCTATGCTCCAATGGGAGATACAGAAATTGATGATGATGATAATGATTTGAAGATGGTACACACCCTTCAAAGGATTTTTAAAAATATTGTAATTAAATTAATATAGATTGCTTAAACACACTGTAGGTGACAGCACACATAAGATTCTTGGCGATTATTAAATACTATAATTACTTCTAAATATTGGCTTCAAGTCATAAGTTCAACACGAAAATCTATGCTATTACAAATTAAAAACTTCTGCACAATTGCTACTAAGCGATAAAATGATGCAGATTATCCTATAAAATCCATAGACCAATTTTGAAAAAAAATATCGTTAGTTACATTACATAAAAATGATGAGTTATCATAAACTCCGACATGTAGTAGCTGCCACTGATATCATAAAGCAAGCTTTGCGATATCACGTTGATAGGCGTTACTCATTATATAGGCGTTTAATAAAGTGCGATTAATTTCATTTTATGGTCAACTAGAGTTTTCACAAGAAAACCTTACCGATAGAGTAAATCAATCGATAACTTTTGTAATAACCAGCCCAGAATTCAAAAATTTTAGTTTTTGAATTGATAAGAACCAGACGAGGATTGGATTCAGTTCTTGACAATTACACTTACAATAAATAAAAATGACGACATGTTTCACGCTGCCTTTTCAAAATCCATATATAAATATAGGTACATTTCCAGACATTTTCCAGATTTCCAGATCATAATGCGAAAAGCAATAAGTTCATGTCAGAATCATGTACCATTTAGAATTAATCAGTTTAATGTCAAGTTAAACCGATTATACCGAAAAATTGTATGGGCATTGGTAGTACGAACCCGAAAAAATAGTGAAAATTGAATTAAATGTTAAATGGCAGTCAATAAATTTATAAATAACTTTTACACGCACAAATAAGATATCATCAATAAAGTCAGTGTTCTACTACATTTGTAGAGCCTTTCAATAAGTTTCTATTCGAGTTCGTTATCTATTTAAATTTTTTCGAGATTTCTGAATATAGTAATCTACAAAAAGTTTTATTTATAGGTATTGGGTAACACAGGTATGTTTTTTTTGCGATATAAGGTCAATGTATCTATAGCTTAATGAGAATTTTTTAACTGACTGATAATAATCAGGTAAATACACATTAGATTAATGAGTTTGGTAAATATCATATGCATAATGATAATTACACAAAATGAATTCGTTAATATAATAAATGAAAAGTTAAACAATCCGAAAAAGATTTGTTAATTTTTAAAACAGTGAAAAAATCTAAATTTAATTTAAATTTAATAATTAAATTTAATTAAGTATATCCTTTCAGTTAGAAATTAGCAAGCAAGAAAAACGATTTAAAGAATATAATTCTGTTCTATTCTGAAATCAACTAGATAACCTTATAAGCACAGATTGTGGTGAATGCTCTAAAGATTGCAGAACTGTAGTTGATCCAAAAAGAAACTTAATCTCAATAATGATTTTCAATTACAACATAATAAAGTTTGTTTTAAAACTTAATATAGCTAATGTATTTAATAGAAGGGGGTAGATATTTATGAAACACAAGGATAATAGTTTTAGGTATTAGGGTTTTACAGTTGACTAAATCTAGATTATTTATTATATATGTCTTTGAATAAACTTAGCCTGTAAATATCAAATAAAAAAAATTACATTTCATTTCTTTAAATTTTTTGACTGACTATATGATTTTGAAATCACCACCTAATTATTTTATTTTAATTTTTTGAAGAAAAATAAAGTTTGCTGGAGAAATTATAAATGAAGGAGAATATAACTCCTTAACTCTATGAGTAAACCAACGTATTTTAATTATTATATGAAACAGTTTTGCAACACTGAAAACAGAAAACAGTGTATGTTTAGATACTATAAAGCTCAACATAAAAGAACGACGGAAATTTTTATATTATTTAGCAAATATTTTTCTAAGGAGTGTTTATCAGTCAACACTCTAACAAAGTATAAAAGATATCCTTTGACATTGTCTCTATAACGTGACACACTCATATTAAAAATTCACTGTAACTTCAATATTGGTTCCATTCTCACTCCCAAGCCAATAACTAATGCTTAGTGCATTAATGCTTAGTTACTGGAATAAAATCTTAAAGGTGCATACGAAACTTTGTTGACTTTCGTGTCGTTATTAACTCTTTTAACGCATTTCCAACGAACCAAATCAATCCAATTCAATTCTGGTGGATACACCATAGAAATACTAGACATTTTAGCAGAAACTCCATTAACGGACATGCATAACTTGAACTGTTGTTGTTGTTTAAGCTTTTAGTGCGCATTTCAAGGATGTTTATCTCCAACTATTTTATTGCAAGTAAACGCTGTTTGCGCCTGTGGATTTATATGTATTCTTTTGTTGCTTTATGTGTAGTTTATGACGTTTGTTATGGCGCACCTCAGTACACCTCAGACTTGCACATATACCGCAACTACGAACTTACTAGCAATGTCGTTAAGCAGTCGCTGTTTCTAATGCACAGTACACAATTCACTCGTTTGTAAAAACACTAAAAATTCATTTTAACAGTTTGTTTAACAAAAATCCAAAATGACAAATTCCCGCCCTGGTACTGGTTGTTTATAGTGTCAATGGACAATCCTTTGCATCCCTGGCTCCACTCTTTCATTACTCCACTAAACCATGGTACCACTGTTTCACTGCTTTGGTGGGACTAGTACTCGTTGCTTATACGAGTACGGTTGCTTGTATTGTCATTGGTTGGTCTTCTGCTTCCCTGTTTTTCTGTTTTTCTACCTCACTGCTCCACAGCACTACTTAGCATCAGGAGAGCTCAGTGGTACATGATTTTGTTTGTAAATGCGCAACATATTTGGTCGGAGGTATCTGCGTGCGTTGGTGCACTGAATGCCGTCGTCGTAAAATGCACTTTAATTGGGAGCAGGAATATGTGACACGAAAAACATTCATTTTGTGTTATTTTGAAACAGAGATAATGGCTAAAATGCAAACGAAAAACTAAAATATTTAAATTATTTTACTTTTTTCCCTACTTTGCATACTAAAAATTTATCTGTTATCCTTTAAATTTAGCATTTTGTTGTTATCACAGAAAAAGTTTGCTCTTGCCTTTTGTGTATTCATTTTGTTGCTATCTTGGCTAATGTTGCTGGCAACTGTTGTTGTTGTTGTTGCTGTTGCTGTTGCTGTTGCTGTTGCTGTTGCTGCTGCTGGTGTTGTTGTTGTGCAAAAGTGGGCGTCATTTTTCATCATTAATCATGATTGAAGTTCGCTTTTTATGGGTGTTGATATACCAAAATGCAAAGTCATTTTTCAATTTAAGCGATAAAGAGATGAAGTACAGCAAAATTTCAATAGTAGCCGGAAAAAATTACACAAAAATAGCACAAAAAAAAAATGGGAAATAAAATAAAAAAAATTTTGCTGTGAAATACTTAAATATCTACACACACAAAGAAGGAATTAAGCCAGCTTCATAAAGAACTTAAATCCTTTTGCCTGATAAAAGGAAAAGCTCAGTGAAAAATCTAAACTCAACGAAGTGGAAGAACAAATATTAAAATAATCAAAATTCGCACAAAATATATTACATATTTTTGACCTTCAATCTTCATTCATAGTCAAAGGATTTTTTTTTTGTTTCAAAGAAATCCTTTTCTCTTGAGCTAGTCTATTGATTCTAAAAAATATTACAAAAAATTATTTTCATACTGATCTAAGAAAAGATTATACTAGAAAATAGCAAGACCAAACCAACACTGAAGAATAATTTGATGAACTTCAATACTATAAAAATATTTCTCTTATTCCTTATAGTATTTTGTATTGGAATTGTAATGATAAACATCTATCACCACAAACATAGCATTTATTATTCTTATTAAGAAAACTAAGTTAGGCTCGAAACTAAAGCAATAAAAATAGACTGGAAAAACTCCAACATATGTTATCAATAGGCTTAAGTACAGACTGACTACTTAGTTGTACTCAGTTCAAACATTTTCATATTTCATATTGCATATGCTGCTATTTGCTGCCACCTTTCCGAAATGGTATTAAATCACACTCAGGTCTTTAAATGCTGTGAAAAATTTAGTAAAATATCAACATGAGCTCGGTGAATGGTTGAAAAGGACTTCACCATATCTAATAAGCCTTGAGATCTTTAACCGAAGGATATTATTTGGTTTCTCAATAGTCTGGACTTGTCTAAAGTAGATAAGAACGCATTCTTTAGGGATAGAACAATATATCTAATAGGAGTAATGAATAGTTTTAATTCCTCTTCGTTAAGGAGACTCTCTTCAAATATTTTTTCTTTTTCTATTTATAAATTATTAATTGAATTTTTCTTTTAGAAACTAATAATAAGTGGTTCAAATCTTAAAAACTAAATCAAATTGAAATTCAACAATTAAAATAAAAATATAATTACTTAATTAATTCAATTATTCTACAGCTGATATATGATTTCGTTCTAATATATTTAAAAACAGCAAGTAAAATAATAAAAGTTAATAAAAATACTTTCATAGCAAAAGTAACAAAACTCCAGAAAAATATGCGAATATAAAAAGTCATGTACGACCTTGGATCAGTTGGTTTAGGTGCGCTGGTACTGAGCTTCACATTTGGCAGGACCCGAGTTCGATTCCTGGTACTAGCAGTCTCAAAAATAATTATTATTTACGAATAATTAAATACAAGAATTATTTCCAAGACCACTGATGATGGGTATTTGGCAATACTTAAAACAGATGTATGGTCAGCCAAAATTTCAATTAATTAAAATAATATAAGAAAATAAATTTTTGTTGTTGTAGTTCACTATTGTTCGAAAAAACCTCTTTGTAAATCAAATTAAAAATCACATTCATTTTATTAAAATAGAGTTTACAATACTTTAAATGAAATTAAAATAAAGTAAATTTAGCAGATGGTAATTATGTCCTTCTTTTTTAAACATTTGTGACCTTTGTTCAGTAGGGGGCTCTCCAAATATAGAATTCCAACTCCAAATTTATATAGAATAGAACTCCAAATATATAATTCAAATGTCGCTGTATACATGGTATATAGTAATCCTACTAATAATACTATTACTATTATAACAGAATATCTATTTAAATTTCAATAATATAGAGTAGTAGCACAGAGATATTTAGATATATATTAGATATATAGATCATAATCAAATAATTAAAATGAAATTAGTCGATTAAAAAATAGCTAATTTTTTCACTGATTACACATATACATACATAGAATTATAAAATTATTCTTATTATGTTGTAAGTATTTATAGTAATGTTGACTATTATGAGTTCTCCTCATATCAGATTAGCTAATTAGTTCAAGGAGACTATGTGCAATTTCAATAAAAAAAAAATTTTTAATGTATGTCACAGCACATTAATCAAAAGCGCATCAAAAGTGATAATGTCCGCAGTACGTACTGGAATTTATAATATTACACATTAAAAATATAATTCTCGTTTCTTTTAATGTAACTCTTCAATATAAGAGTATATAATAGTTATTGTTAGTATAATTTGTTTAATATGATTTGAAAATAAAAGATGTAACTGCTGATTATATCAATTATTGGGATTCCTTCTGTTTTTCATAAAAGCAGATATTTGTTAGAGCTTTCTAGTTTAATTAGGATTTAATATGCAAAAAATTACATTATACTTTAATATTACTGGTGGATAATGTACTGAGTGATCTGTGGAACCACAGTGACGCAAGGTTATATTTAGTGCCGCCACATATTATTTACCATTTATTGGTACTAAATTAATAATTTTATTGGGAATTTAATGTTAACATTAACAATTATTAAATTATTTTGGATTGACATATTGACTTTTATATAAATTCCAACAAATAACTACAATGAATAATAAATAAAATAAAATCATTAAATAATAAATTTAATTTTTAAATATTAAAACACATTTATCAAAATTAAAATCAATTTTGTCTCAAAGAGATGTATTGATAATTCACTGTAAATAAAGTAATATAATCCTATTTTGTAATTAAAAATTTTTTTTTTTTCACAAAATTTCAATCAAAAACTATCTAAAAGCATCTAAAATTAATGTAGAACACAAGAATTTTCTTAAAGTTTTCTGCACTTAAAACTTCCTTAAAACTTGTTAATTGATTTATAAGTAAAGCAATCAATTTACTTGATTGTGAGTGAGGACATGCTTCCAGTTAACGTAAATGAACCATTATGAACTCTGATGAGTCAGAAAACGAGAGTGAAGGACTACACAAAGTATTGAACACCTTTGATTAGGAACGTGTAAACATGCAACGTGTAAAATCAATTGTTTGGGAAGAAAATT